GGGAGGCTGATCGATACCCGGGTGCGGTCAAGGGATGGCTCCCTATTGCTCAACCACGTTATGTATGCCGATGATTTGGTAATAGCTGCTCATTCAGAGGAGGAGTTGGAGACGCTGCTGCTGAGACTGGAGCGTGCCACTAAGAGATGGGGTCTTACCATCAGCCCCACCAAAACTAAGCACCTGCCTGGGTATTTTGTACCATCGGACACTCCACCGCACAACTCCCAATCGGTGATGGGGCAGTTGTGGAGAGAGTGGAGAGTTTCCCATACCTGGGCAGTGTGCTTATGACCGGCTCCAGTTTAACAGCAGAGGTCTCACTCCGAATCAGTCGAGCGGCAATAACTTTTCATCGGTTGCGTAACGCTGTGTGGAAGCTACCTGGTCTGGCGATCCGCACTAAGCTTCAGGTCTTCTAGGCCACGGTCATTCTCTCCCTTCTCTACACTTGCGAAACGTGGACCTCCCTAATGGAACATCTTCGCCGGTTAGAAACATTTAGGCTAGCCTGCCTACGATCCATTCTGGGTTTAACCAGGCTGGATTGTGTGAGGAGCTCACAAATCTTTGAAAGATCTGGGCAAGGTCCCATCGGTGAGCTCCGGCAGGCAAGGCTACGTTGGCTGGGTCATGTAGCCCGCATGCCCAGCCACCGCATGCCGAAACAGCTTTTGTTCGGCCGGATCGAGGGGGCTAAACGGGCGCGGCACGGGCTAGAGAAGAGATGGAGTGATGTGGTACAGGAGGACGTGGAGCTGAGTGGACTTGCCGATGACTGGTACCAGCAGTGTCAAGATCGGCCTCTGTGGAGGAGGCTTGTGAAGGACGCTACTGGGCAGTTGGAGATAGTCGCCCTCGAACAACAACGGAGGGCGGAGGAGCGACGCTCACAACAACGAGCGGAGCGCCGGGTGGCTAAAGCACAGCAGGTTGGCACAGTAGGGGGCACAGGTGGTGCATCAGCCAGTCATCTCAGTCATCTTAGTCAGTCGACCCGTGGCACTTGGGTCTGCCCCGTGACCTCCTGCCCGCGGGCGTTCGACACTTCACGTGGCCTCAACGTGCACATGGCCTGGCACAAGCGTCGTGGTGACGTCACCGCCACTTAGTGGCGAATGGCGGTTGTTGTTGTGTTGTCAAGTTATGTGTGTGTGTGTTGTCAAGTTGTGTGTGTGTTGTTAAGTTGTGTGTGTGTGCTGTCAGGCTTTGTGTATGTTTGCTGTCAAGTTGTGTGTGTGTGTGTTGTTAAGTTGTGTGTGTGTGCTCTCAGGCTGTGTTTGTGTGTTGTTAAGTTGTGTGTGTGTGTTGTTAAGTTATGTGTGTGTGTGCTGTCAGGCTGTGTGTGTGTGTTGTCAAGCTGTGTGTGTGTTGTCAAGCTGTGTGTATGCTGTCAAGTTGTGTGTGTGTGTTTTGTCAGGCTGTGTGTGTGCTGTCAAGTTGTGTGTGTGTTGTCAAGCTGTGTGTGTGTGCTGTCAAGTTGTGTGTGTGTGTGCTGTCAAGTTGTGTGTGTGTTTGCTGTCAAGTTGTGTGTGTGTGTGCTGTCAGGCTGTGTGTGTGTGCTGTCAGGCTGTGTGTGTGTGCTGTCAGGCTGTGAGTGTGGGTGCTGTCAGGCTATGTGTGTGAGTGCTGTCTCGCTGTGTGTGTGCTGTCAACAGTCATCACGCACACCGCATCACCATTACCATCATAATCATCATCATCCCTGCTGGGTCATTAAAGTATCACTTTGTGGGATATATAAGAATAGGGTTTTTACCCTTTCTGTCACTAATACAGATGTTAAGATGTTCAAACACCAAATAGACACTTGTTGCAAGGCATCATGTCTGTATTAACCACATACTTCTGGCATAACATGAAAATTATCATGCTCTGATAATATATATGCATTGTCTTTGAAACTGATAGAGCTACACCAGAGACAGCCTTCTTTATGGCCTATTCTAATTTTTGGTCGCTGCCATGGGAATGTGGAATTTCCACCACTGGCCCCAGGGCCACACACAGTGTGCGTAGTTGAGGGGTTGTTGGGCCGCCTAGTGGATGCGGCTCTACCGTGTGCCGTGAGCGGCGTTCCGCGGCGATGCCTCCAACTCCGCTCGGGTTTTTTCGCGATGGGAGGAGGAGAGCGGGGAAAACCGGAGGACGCCCGCGGAGAACACGGGGAGAGAGGCGAATACAAATACCACGCGCACAAAGGCAGCGGTTTAGTCAAATTAACACAGCGGTTGTAGCAGTATGTTGCAGCTGTGGTGGTGGCGTTGGTGGTGGTCACAATGTTGGTGGTAGTAGCGATGATGATGATGATGATGGTTGTAATGGTTGTGATGGTGATGATGGTGGTCGTGAAAATTGTGTGGGGTGTGGTAGCGTAGCTGTTAACACGCTGCGCTACAAACCTGGCGACCCAAGTTCGAATCCCGCTCACGTTCCTGGACCTCCCCTAGGTCGACTCAAAATGAGTACCTGGTGCGGTGTGTAAAAGCATCCCCTCTGGGGAGGAGAGGTGCCCGAGTCGGGGATCGAACCCGGGGGCTACTTCCTACGAGGCGCTGCGCCTCCCTGTAGTGGTACAAGGCCGTGGGGATGGCAATGGCTTGTGGGGAGGGCATCATCCAGCATTGGGTTGGAGCGTTGGCGATGGTGCAGATATTGGCAATCGGCGATCGCCTCGGGAGTGTTGCTAAACACTTCGACCGTTGGCGATGGGGAGGAGACACGGGCAGGGGGGAGAGAAAGACAGAGATCCCCAGCATAGTCTTTACAGACTGTCGAGTCAAGTGCTGTTAGCAAGTAGCACCTATGAAGGCCGGCACGGCACACGAGGGGTTGGGTGGCCAGCACCACGCCCGGCCGCCTTTGTCTCCCTCGTGGCGAAGTTTACACATCGCACCAGGTACTGATGTTAACTCCCCTCGCCTGCTATGCAGGAGGTCGCGGGTTCGATCCCGACCCTGCTGTCTATTGTATATATGGAATTTGTGTCTCTCTCTGTACCCGTGGTCACGTGGACTTTTCTCTGGATCCTCCGATTTGTTGTGTGGGGTGTGGTAGTGTAGTGGTAAGTGGAGTGCCAGGGTGGTAGTAGCACAGTGGGTGACGCCCGCGGCTTACAGCCAGAAGTGCTGGCTTCAGCTTCTGTCTCTGGTGCCTCTCTGTGTGGAGTTTCTCTCTCCCCCTGTTCTACAGTGAGTGAGTGGAGTTTGTATTGTCTCTCCTGTTCTACAGTGAGTGGAGTTTGTATTCTCTCCCTGTTCTACAGTGAGTGAGTGGAGTTTGTATTATCTCCCCTGTTCTATAGTGAGTGAGTGGAGTTTGTATTCTCTCTCCTGTTCTACAGTGAGTGTAGTTTGTATTCTCCCTCCTGTTCTACAGTGAGTGAGTGGAGTTTGTATTCTCTCTCCTGTTCTGCAGTGAATGGAGTTTGAATTCTCTCCCCTGTTCTACAGTGAGTGAGTGTAGTTTGTATTCTCTCTCCTGTTCTACAGTGAGTGAGTGGAGTTTGTATTCTCTCTCCTGTTCTACAGTGAGTGAGTGGAGTTTGTATTCTCTCTCCTGTTCTACAGTGAGTGAGTGGAGTTTGTATTCTCTCCCCTGTTCTGCGTGGGTTTCCTCCGGGTTTTCCGCGTTCCTCCTCCCATAGATAAACATGCACAGTGGAAGCGGTGTCAGCCAAACCACATCCCAATGCTGACACATTCCCTGCAAATAACACCAGCAACATCATCCACTCCACTCGTCCCTCGGTTAACATTTTTAATCGGTTCCACGAAAACTCCTGTTCACCGATATGACTGTTTTTCGAATATAGGAATTAGATGTTAAAAGCGTGAATCTGTTCCAAAATGATTGGAAATTGACCTTAACAATTTCCAACTTTTGTTTTAAGGCTGATTACTTCCTACTCCTCTTTTCCTTTTGCCAATTCACTTTAGCAGCCATTGTAATATTTATAAATTTTCTAAAAAGTGGAAAATTAAGTCAAGGTCACCGAGTCTGCAAGAGAGGGGGTCTCCACTGCCACAACAGACAACGCGATGTAAACGAAGCCAGTCGATGTTCTTAGCGCTCATAAATGAGCGTCGCTGATTCGCTGAGTGCACGGCTCAGCCCCAGTATGAGCGTTGGATTGGCCGATAATTGGCGCCCGTGCGCATAATGTAAACACGGTAACGGTAGTCAATTTTTTTACGTGAGTGGAAACCATGGGGCCACTATGGGGGGCGAAACATGAACCTGAAGACTGTGAACCGATGTCACTGTTAACTGAGGGTCTACTGTACTGCGAAAACTTAGCAGCATCCGTCAGGAAAACAAGAGTTGTGCCTGTTGCACCTAGTCTGTGCCAGGCTAGGTTCACTTTGAGGCCACGTGAAGGGTCAAAGGCTCGCTGCTGGCACGGTCAGACCTAGGTGCCATGGGCTGACTGACTGGGATGACTCCTGTGCTCCCTACTTTGCCAACTTGCTGCTTTTTAACCATCTGGTGTTGTGACGCCTTGCATTGTGACGGTCCATCGTCGCGACATCTCGTGTCATCGTGACGCCCCTCCTCATTGTCGTGACGCCCTGCATCGTCGTCATGACGCCCCGCGTTGTCGTCGTGATTCCCCGCGTCGTCGTCGTCATGACGCCCCGCGTCGTCGTCGTAGTCGTGATGCCCCTCCTCGTCGTCGTGATGCCCCTCCTCGTCGTCGTGATGCCCCTCCTCGTCGTCGTAGTCGTGATGCCCCTCCTCGTCGTCGTGATGCCCCTCCTCGTCGTCGTAGTCGTGACGCCCCACGTCGTCGTCATCATCGTGATTCCCCGCATCGTCGTCGTCATGAAGCCCCACGTCGTCGTCATCATCGTGATTCCCCGCGTCGTCATCGTCGTGACGCCCCGCGTGTTGTTTCAGCTACGGGCGCCCCAACGACCTCCCGGGCTTGGCTAACGATGGCCGCCTCACGCGACGCCGTAGCCGACTGGGAGCAGCTCACGGGGCAGCAGGAGCCTGGATTCCTGCGGGACGGTGGAAGAGGTGGAGCAGGAGATGGTGGAGGAGGAGGTGGTGATGGAGGAGGAGGTGATGGAGGAGGAGGTGATGGAGGTGGCGGCCTCTATCGGATGACGGTGACCACGGTGGAGACGGTGAGGGTTTTCATACGGCTTACGCTCACCCCAGCTCACCCTCGCACTGATTCCCCACTGATCCACCCGCTGATCCCCCCCCCCCCCCCGCTGATCTCCGTTATCCCAAAGGAGCTGCTTACCACGCGGGTGTTGGTGAGAGGGGGAGGGGTCGGAGCGGATTTCCACCAGAGCGGAACTGGAGCGACCTGCTCCTTTGACTCCACGTTCCCCACAGAATCACCGCTCCACCCCGGGCTCCATGCCTACTCCGGTGAGACGACTCGTACACTTGCTAACCGCTCGCTCGCTCGCTCGCCACCCGCTCGCTTCCCACTCACTCACCCGTTCATTTGCTCGTTCCTGTATGAATAGTTGTTGTTGTTGACGACATTGTTGTTGATAAAACGTTGACGTTGTCGTTGTGGCTGTTGTGTCCCAGGCGCCCGTGAGGCGCTGTGCGCGTGGCTACACGCCACGCGCGTCGCCGTGGAGCAGCATGACGGTTGCCATGGCGACGTTGCCGACACGCAGCGCCGCATCGACGCGCTGCAGGTGCTGCCCCCCTCCTCTCACCCACGACCTCCGACCTCCTAGACGACCCTTGACCTGCCATGACTTCCCCCAGCCATCCCCTGCTCCCCTGACGTCTCGCAAATGACCCCTGACCTCTCTTTTTCTCCCCATATGTGTCTCTCTCCCCGTGTCCCCGTGTCTCTCTCTATCTCCTCATGTCCCCATGTCTATCTCCCTCCTCATGTCTGTCTCTCTCTCCCCATGTCCCCCGGTCTTTATGTCTCCCCTTATCCCCGTGTCTCTCTCCCCGTGTCCCCGTGTCTCTCTACCTCTTCATGTCCCCACGTCCATCTCTCTCCCCATGTCTGTCTCTCTCTCCCCGTGTCCCCGCGTCTCCGCCGCCCTCCGCAGGCCGTGCTGGACAATCTCCCGGAGGGGCGCTCTCTGCTCGAGCGCTCGGCCGTTGAGCTGGAGACGCTGGCCCGTGGTGGTGGGGGTGGGGGGGGCGGCCCCCCCCCACGGCCCCCCCCACGGCCCCCCTGCCCCCGGCGCCCCGCCCCCCGTGCCACCGGCCGCCCTGGAGGAGGCGGAGCGGACGCTGGAGCGTGACCGGCGGGCCCTGGGCCTGGTGAGCGCGCGGGCCCACGCGGCCCTCCTCGCCCTCGCCCAGCGCCTGCAGCGGCTGCACAGGTGCTTCCCTCGGCGCGCCGCTCCACACTCCACTCGCCCCCAGCGCCAAAAACACTCAAACAGCACACGAACAGCACGCGAACAGCACGCGAACAGCACACGAACAGCACGCGAACAGCACACCCTCCTGGCACCAGAAACACACGTTCAGTGTCTCGTCAGCGGCGGTTCACCAGTAAGCCCGACTGCCGCTGACGAGACATTTGAGTCCCGCTCACGGCCTTCTCTTGGGCGTTCCCCCGAGGTCGACTCGGCATTAATTGAGTCCCCGGCGTGGTCCGTGTAACACGTCGGCACCGGGGAGACAAAAGCCACCGGGCGTGGCGTCGGCCATTCCGCCCCCTCGCAAGTTCGCCGTGCCGGCCTTAACGACCGCTCGCCCACCGGCAGTTGCGGCCCGACTGCGCCTCGTGGACCACACGGGGTCGACCCTTTGCCTGTGCAGGAGCGGCGAGCGGCTGCTGGAGTTTGAGCGCTGGCTCCGGGGCGTGGAGACGGCGCTGGGCCACGGAGCGGCCTCAGGGAGGCCCGGCGAGGAGAAGGAGGCCATCGCCTCCGCCGTGGAGGCCCTGCTCGAAGACATCAACCAACACAGGTCCCCCGCACACACACAGACGCACAGACAACGATCCCCTTAACAGACGGTTGGGGCAAATGCTGTCAGCGAGTAGCACCTATGAAGGCCGGCACGGCACACGAGGGGGTGGGTGGCCAGCACCACGCCCGGCTGCCTTTGTCTCCCCAGTGGCGATGTTTAGTATACACCGCAACCGGGCACTCATTTGCGGCTGAGTCGACCTAGGGAAGCCCGGAACCGGTTCAGATAATTGTCACTGATGTTGGCTGTGAGCGGGAATGGAACTCGGTCATCGGGTTCAAAGCACAACGCGCTAAGCATCACGCTGCCGCTCCCCATACACACATACATACAGACATAGATAAAAAAAAACATTGACAAAGATCCCCCGTTTAGCCTCTGCAGACCGTTGGGGGCAAGTGCTGTTCGCGAGCACCCATTAAGGCCTGCGCGGCGCACGAGGGGTTGGATGACCGACATCACGACCGGCAGACTTTGTCTCCCCTGTGCCTACCCGTCACCACCATCACCACCACCATCATCACCATCATCACCACCGTCATCGACCACCGTCATTACCATCATCACCACCACCATCATCACCATCATCACCATCACCACCACCATCATCATCACCATCACCACCATCATCATCACCATCACCACCACTATCATCATCACCATCATCACCACCATCATCGACCACCGTCATTACCATCATCACCACCACCATCACCACCGTCACCACCACCGTCACCATCACCGCCGTCACAATGGCGGTGTCACCGTTGCCCAGGCCGCAAATGGACGAGGTGACCGGCGCGGGCGACGACACCCCCGTGGGGGAGGCGGTGGAGGTGGGGGCCGGGGGGGCGGCAGCAGCGCCCCTCGCCCCCGACGCGCGTCTGCGCGGGCGCTACGACGCGGCGCTGGCGGCGGCCGCGCTGCGCGCCAGGGAAGGCCGCGTGCGGGCACAGCTCGACGCGGCGTGGCGTTCCGCGCGCGCCGACCTCTCGCGCTTCTGCGAGGACGTGCGGGCACAGCTGGGCGCCGTCGACTGCGTCGTGGGCCAGCGCCACGAGCTGCACGCACGCATGCAGCTCAGCAAGGTGGGCACCAACTCGCCCCCGCTCGCCCTCGCTAGCTCACGCCCGCTCGCCCACGCTCACCCTCGCTAGCTCGCCCCCGCTCGCTCACGCCTGCTTGCCCCCGCTCGCTCACACCCGCTCGTCCCCGCTCACCCCTGCTCGCTCGCTCGCCTCCGCTCGCTCACGCCCGCTCGCCCCCGCTCACTCACGCCTGCTCGCTCCCGCTCGCTCAGGCCCACTCGCTCGTGCCCGCTAACTCACACTCCTGTGTAGCCGATTCCCGACTCGGGTGCCTCTTTCCGTGAAGTTTGTATTCTCTCCCCCAGTCCTGCGTGGAGCTTTCTCTGAGTTATCTGGGTTCATCTCATAGCTAAACCCACACCCACGGTGGAAATTGTATTGGCCAAACCACATCCTCAATTCTGATACATTCCCTGCAGATCACTCAATTGGGATCAAAGACAGAGATCCCCCGTATAGCCTGAACAGACTGTTGGGAAAAGTGCTGTTAGCGAGCAGCACCAATGAGGCCCGGCACGGCACACGGTGGGAGGGTGGCCAGCAACCACCCCCGGCCGCCTTTGTCTCAGGTACTCACTTGAGGCCGTGTCCATCTAGGGTAGGTGGTCCAGGTGTCTTTTGAGATAATCCATTGCAGGTGTTGGCCGTGAGTGGGAATCGAACTCGGGTCACGGTGGTGGTCAGCGCAGCGCGCTGACCACCACCGCTCCCTCGCTCGCTCACTCGCACGCCAACTCGTACGATCGCTCGCGCGCCCGACTCACACGATGGTACGTGAGCGTCAGAGATGACAGGCGGGCCAGCGCCCCCTGCAGTCACCCAGGCAGTCTCTGCCTTACCGCCTCTCGCCCCGCGTGCCAGCGCCTGCTCGGGTGCCGCGACGAGGGCGAGCGCCTATTGGCGTCGCTGCTGGGCGCCGGGCGGCTGGTGCTGCGCGCGACGCTGTGCCCCGTGGAGCGTCGCGCCGTCCAAGCGGCGCTACACGACGAGCAGGCAGCCTGGGACGAGCTGCACACGAGCTGCGTGCACGCACACGGGTACCCCCCCTCCACTCGCCTCCCTTCTCTCCCCTCCCCCACCACTCCTGGCCACAGTCCCTCTGACTGGATGGAATCTGGAATCACGTGGTTTCTTGCACAGCAATTCAGTCACTTTATGTTGGTCTCTGCATCCCCAGCGTCGTAGCGTCCTTCTCTGTGCCCCCGTGTCTCCCAGGCGGCTGGAGTGACTGTACCTGTGTCTCTGTCCCCCCCCCGTGTCTCCCAGTCAGCTGGAGTGACTGTACTTGTGTCTCTGTCCCCCCCCCCCATGTCTCCCAGTCGGCTGGAGTGACTGTACCTGTGTCTCTGTCCCCCCGTGTCTCCCAATCAGCTGGAGTGACTGTGCTTGTGTCTCCGTCTCCCCGTGTCTCCCAGCCGGCTGGAGTGACCGTACCTGTGTCTCTGTCCCCCCCCGTGTCTCCCAGTCGGCTGGAGTGACTGTACTTGTGTCTCTGTCCCCCCCCCCGTGTCTCCCAGTCAGCTGGAGTGACTGTGCTTGTGTCTCCGTCTCCCCGTGTCTCCCAGCCGGCTGGAGTGACTGTACCTGTGTCTCTGTCCCCCCCCCCGTGTCTCCCAGTCAGCTGAAGTGACTGTACCTGTGTCTCTGTCACCCCCGTGTCTCCCAATCAGCTGGAGTGACTGTACTTGTGTCTCTGTCCCCCCGTGTCTCCCAGCCGGCTGGAGTGACTGTACCTGTGTCTCTGTCCCCCCCCCCGTGTCTCCCAGTCAGCTGGAGTTGCTGTACCTGTGTCTCTGTCCCCCCCCCGTGTCTCCCAGGCGGCTGGAGTGACTGCACCTGTGTCTCTGTCCCCCCGTGTCTCCCAGTCAGCTGGAGTGACTGTACCTGTGTCTCTGTCCCCCCGTGTCTCCCAGTCAGCTGGAGTGATTATACCTGTGTCTCTGTCCCCCCGTGTCTCCCAGTCAGCTGGAGTGGCTGTACCTGTGTTTCTGTCCCCCCGTGTCTCCCAGTCAGCTGGAGTGGCTGTACTTGTGTCTCTGTCCCCCCGTGTCTCCCAATCAGCTGGAGTGATTATACCTGTGTCTCTGTTCCCCCGTGTCTCCCAGCCGGCTGGAGTGACTGTACCTGTGTCTCTGTCCCCCCGTGTCTCCCAGTCAGCTGGAGTGACTGTACCTGTGTCTGTCCCCCCGTGTCTCCCAGCCGGCTGGAGTGGCTGTACCTGTGTCTCTGTCCCCCCGTGTCTCCCAGCCGGCTGGAGTGGCTGTACCTGTGTCTCTGTCCCCCCGTATCTCCCAGGCAGCTGGAGTGGCTGTGCCTGTGTCTCTGTCCCCCCGTGTCTCCCAATCAGCTGGAGTGATTATACCTGTGTCTCTGTTCCCCCGTGTCTCCCAGCCGGCTGGAGTGGCTGTACCTGCAGTGGCGGAGCTACTCGGAGCGACGCACGGCGCTGCTGCGTGCGCTGGCGGCGCACGTGAGCGCAGTCGACGCCCAGCTGCTCCCCCAGCCCAGCCTGGCCGACAAGGAGGCGGCGCTGGACAGGTGGCGCCACCCACACCCACACACTGCACTCAACCACCACACGCTCGCTCACTTACACACCCTCAACCACTTACTCAACCGCTCATCCACTCAACCAAAGACAAAGATCCCCCGTATAGCCTGATCAGACTGATGGGGTAAGTCCTGTTATCTATGGTGGCCGGCACGGCACATGAGGGGGTGGGTGGCCAGCACCACGCCCGACCGCCTTTGTCTCCCGAGTGGTGATGTTTACACACCGCACCAGGTCCCCATTTGAGGCTGAGTCGACCTAGCAGAGGCCCAGGACCTGTTCAAACAATCGTCTTTGGTGGTGATTTTGGCTGTGAACGGGAATCGAACACAGGGTAGCTGGGTTCGTAGCGCAGCGCGCTAACCACTGCACCACCTCTCCCCACAACTCACTCAACCATCCACCCACTTACACATTCCACTGTCTCTAGCGCAGTGGTTCTTAACCTTGTTGGAGGTACCGAACCCCACCAGTTTCATATGCGCATTCACCGAACCCCTCTTTAGTGAAAAATAAAATGTGATTTTTTTCAAATTCAAGACATAGATATGTTTTTTACTGGTACACAAAATGAGCCGTGCATGAACATTACCTTGTTCAAAGAATAAAACCAACACAATGCATAAACTCACAACAAATTACATACCTGGAAATCAATGTGACTTCTGCTGTTGCCTTTGAGAGATCAGTTCAGATATGCGTGGCTTCACCTTGGCAAGTGCCACTCTCATGTCATTTTCACAGCAAAGTCTGTTCCTTTTCTTCGTTTTTATGTCCAGCATCCTCGAAAAGGATTGCTCACAAAGATATGTTGTAACAAATGGTATAAAAAAATCCAGGGCTTTCTTAGCAATAACTGAATACTTGTTCATTTGTCGACACCAAAACGTTGAGAGCGTTGTTGTTCTGAAGAGTTGCTGTTGAACCTGGCTCTGCTGAATTTCAATGATTTCGTCGAGGAATTCATCATTGACATCTGCTGTTTCAACAGCAAACGTGAACGGCTGTCTCACCCATGCTGGATATGACTCTCTTGTAGGGAAATATCCGTCGAGAGACTTTGCAAGCTCATCTAAGTGCGTGGCAATTGTTTGCTTCAGTTCCGTGGATACAGAAATATCTCCGATTCCAGACACATCTTCGATCTTACTTGCACAGTCGTCCAGAAGCGGGAAGTTTGCGAAGTTATTGTTCTCTGTTCGTCGTTTCCATAATGGTAGCTTTTTTTGAAAAGCCTTCAGGTGTTCTTCCGCTTCCATGATATTGACTCCACCACCCTGCATCTGCTGATTGAGATGATTGAGAGCTGCGAATATATCAGCCATGTACGCTAAAATGAGAATGAACTCAGGATTTTTGAAGCAATCTGCATGGCAGTGTTGGTGCTCTTGCAAAAACAGGGCTAATTCCACACGCATGGCAAAAACACGATTCAGCACCTGTCCCCGGGATAACCACCGAATATTAGAATGGAGCAGAAGTACCTCAAATTCAGAGCCCATTTCTTTACACAGCTCACTGAAGATGCGGTGCCTCAGAGCACTTTTTCACACATAGTTCACACATTCCACCACAGTTTTTAATACTTCTGCCATTTTTGGAGGTAAGGTTTTTGTTGCCAACATATGCCTGTGCAGAATACAATGCGTCACAATGATGTGTGGTGCATCGGCCTTTACTAGCGCACCAAAACCAGACTTTCTTCCCAGCATGACTGGAGCTCCGTCCGTACAAACTGCAGAAACCATATCCCATGAAAGATTGTTGTTTCTGAAGAAGTCATCCACAAGCTTCTTCACATCGGCTGCCTTCGTTGTTGTTGTAAGAGGCTTACAAAATAAAAACTCTTCTTTTATCATGTCGTCTTTCACATAGCGTACAAAAACAGCAAGCTGGCTTAGATCAGAAACGTCTGTGGTTTCGTCGAGTTGAAGGCTGAATTTTGCCGGGCTTGAAATCAGATCCGCGACTACTTGAGCCAAGATGTCTTTACTCATGTCTTCTATTCTGTCACTGACGGTGTCATTTGAAAGGGGAATTTGGGATAATTTACCTTCGGCCGCTGTTCCGAGTATCAGATTCGCCATCTTTAATGCAGCTGGTTTCACAAGTGTTTCACCAATGGTGTGTGGCTTGCCCTGCTTTGCGATCAGGTAAGCAACTTCGTACGATGCTGTCAGGATCGGTTTGTTAACAGGTACAAATCCAAGAGCAGGCAGAGTGGCCCTTTCATCGAATCTGGCTCTCTTCACCCTGAATTCAGCAAGTGTTGTGTTCTTGTATTCCCCGTCTCCATGCAGCTTCAAGAAGTGTTCCTTTAGTTTTGCCGGTGCAAGACTAGAGTTGCTCAACTTGGCGTTGCAAATCATGCAGATAGGACGCTCACTCCCATCACGTTCCGTGATACATGAGAATCCATGTTGTACATATTCGTCCGACCACTTTCTTCTTTTGCCCGACATAGTTAGTATGGATAAAATATTAAAGAAATCACACGACGTACGACAACAACAGTCACACGTTGACTACTGAGTACGCACTAAATTCCCCGCAGCGCTGATTGGCCAAGCAGTGTAGCATGATCATCTGCAGCCAGTGATGGCCAAGCGGGCCGTGTGTGTCATCACAAATTTACACAATAATTCAAGTGTGTCCGGACCTCCGTGGCGGGGGCTCTGCCGAACCCCTGAGATCGACTCACCGAACCCCTGGGGTTCGATCGAACCCAGGTTAAGAACCACTGCTCTAGCGATTGGTGTCGTGACGTTGACTGTGCTGTTTGTGGGGAGAAGTGCTACAAACCTGGCGACCCGAGTTCTATTCCTGCCCGCGACCAATAAGCAGTTGAACCGCTCTTGGGCCTCCCCGAAGCCGACTGGTGCAATGTGTAAAAATTGCCACTGGGGAGGCAAAGGCGGCGGGGCATGGTACTGGCCACCCCGCCCCCTCATGTGCCGAACCGCCCTCCATAGGTGCTCCTCTCTTGTCCTGATGGTCTGTTAAGTTGTAACATGTAGTAAAGGTGAGTAAAGGTGAATGGTAAATGGTGTGGGTTTACTCTAGTAACTAATGGGTACGTTTTGTTTACTTGATAAACCTTACTAATTGGCTGTGTCGGGTGGTAACGGATTTAACGACATAATTATTTTAACGTGATCTTCCCAAAAAAAAACCTCTTGTGGATTATAAAGGTTCGTCACGTAAACAAAACGTTCCAATTAGTTACTCCCTTCAGCGCACACCGGTTGAGCGTAGGAGAGTTAAACCCCACAGCATTTACAAAATTCGAGTACTTTGTCGTTTCGTTGGTGATTGCGACCACCAGGTCCTGTTGAGGCCACACGGAGGGGGGTCTTTGTGACCGTGTTTGCGTGCGTGTGGGGGGCGTGAGGGTGCAGGTGCCGCGAGGTGGACGGGGCGCTGCGGGTGCTCGGCCCCGCGCTGGACGAGCTGCAGGAGGCGGCGCGAGCGCTGCTCGACCGCACCGAGGACGCGGAGCTGCACGGAGACGCGGAGCGCGACGCGCTCAGCGCGCCGCATCGCGACGCGGCGCAACGTGTGCAGGTGGGGGGGGGGGGGGGGGGGGGGCAGCCACCACGCCCCTCGGCGTGCCGCGGTGGAGGCTGAGTGCAGTGCGTGTGTGTGGCTCGGTATGCTAAGTTTGTGCGGGAGGCCCCGGGGAGACGGGCATCTGTGATGTATCCCCGCCAAACCCCATTTGGCAGAGACATGAGACTGAATCCTTACCCTCAGGGTTCCTCAAGAAATGGCAAAAAGCCACTGCGGGTGGCCACGTGGAATGTTCAAATGCTCACTGCAGAGGAGAGACTGTCACTCATCTGTCGGGAGCTGGACTGATACCGCCTGGATCTCTGCGGTATTCAGAAGGTCCGTAGACTGGCTCTGACTCCAACCACAATGAGGGGTAGACAGTCCTCAACTCAGAGCAGGAGACTGACATACAACAGGGAGTGGCTCTTTTGAACAAAATAATGAAGGGGTCGTGGGAGCATGGCGGTGAGGTGTGGTAAGCTGTAAGCCCCAGGTTATTGTGGGCTCGCCTTCCCATCAACCAGAGGCGAGGAGTGGTGGTGGTGGTTACTTATGCCCACACCGAAGATGAACATCAGTGCAGGGATTCGGGCAAGGCCAATGAGTCAGATGCCTACCATGACCTTATGTCACATGCTATTTAAAGTGGCCCCTCGGGCTAGAGTCATCCTGTCATGATGCTGGCACCTGGGCTGGAGTGATTGGAAGGCATGGGCCAGATCAGCTCAATAACACCAATAGGAGGCTGCTAGACTTCTGTGCAGCCCATGGGCTTGCAATTACCAACAGTAATGGTACAGCGGATGCGGCCCCATATCCTTGACACCAGGACCTACTGTGGAGCTGATCTATCGACTGACCATCGGCTTGTCATCTGTAAGATGCGCCTGCCATTCTTCCACTCCGGTGGTGGGTGTACACTCAGGACCCCATTCAAACCCACAGTGGCCTGGTCTCAACTAGTCTATGAAAGTTGCAAGCGAGAATTTCATCATCACTTGCACCTGGGGTTGGCATCGTACCCGCATCCTCCTGATGCCAACGGGAAATGGGCGAGGTTTAGGACTGGCTCATGTAGCTGCAATGGCTGCTTTGAGTACACGGTCTAAGCCTCCCCAGTTACCCTGGCTGACAGATTAGGTGCTCCGGCTGGCTGAGAAAAAGCAACAGGCCCACTCCCACCGTCTTCAGCACCCTACGTTGGAGAATGAGGTTTACCGCAGCCTTCGCTCGAAGGTTCGGAGAGCCGTGTGGCGCTGCAAGGATGGGTGGTGGTCGTGGGTTGCTGAAGATATGGAGTCTACTTTCAGCGCCACACGTATCACCGTCATTAGGAGAAAGAACGGTGATCCAATCTCCGACCCCCAGGAACAGCTTTTCAGAATTGTTGACCATGCCCATGAGGTCTTGGGGGAGGGGAAATCCCTCAGCCTGGAAAACATCATGGGGCAATGTGGGGATGACCCTGCTGAGGCTGCCATGCCTCAAATATTGGAAGAAGTAGTCACCCCCTGTGAGTGGCTGGCTGAGGTGTCATCTGTTGAGGAAGTACAGAAGGCATTTCAGAGTCTGAGAACAGGAAAGCACCGGGCAGAGATTAACTCCCAAGTAAAATGCTGAGGGAAGGTGGTGTTTGTGCGCAGACTGCCCTATATGACATCACAATCACAGTTTGGACTACTGGACAGGTTCCGCAGGATTGTAAGGATGTCCTGGTGGTCCCCCTCTTTAAGAGTGTGTGTTTCTGTGTGTGTCTCAGCATGTTGTGGTGGACGCTGAGTGTGTGTGTGTGTGTGACTCAGTGTGCTGTGGTGGACGCTGAGTGTGTGTTTGTGTGACTCAGTGTGCTGTGGTGGAGGCTGAGTGCGGTGTGTGTGTGTGTGACTCAGTGTGCTGTGGTGGACGCTGAGTGTGTGTTTGTGTGACTCAGTGTGCTGTGGTGGAGGCTGAGTGCGGTGTGTGTGTGTGACTCAGTGTGCTGTGGTGGACGCTGAGTGTGTGTTTGTGTGACCCAGCGTGCTGTGGTGGAGGCTGAGCGCCGGGTGAGCGAGCACCGGATCTGGGTGGACTCCGAGCAGCAGCTGCAGAAGCTGGTGGAGGACGCCAGGGAAGAGCTTTCTCACCTCCCCCCTGGCACCCTCACCCTCACCACGCTCACCCCGGTGAGCAATGCACACTGACCCTACACCACGTGTGTGTCGCAGCGCTACGAACCCAGCGACCCGAGTTGGATTCCCGCTCACGGCCAACACCAGTGACAGGTTATCTCAACCGGTCCTGGGCCTCCCCTAGGTCGTCTCAGCCTTAATGAGTACGTGGTGCACTTTGTGTAATCATCGCTTCTAGGCGGCCGGGCATGGTGCTGGCCACCCACCTCCTCATGTGCTAAGAGCACTTGCCCCAACAGTCTGTTAAGGCTGCACGGGGGGTGGGGGGGGTCTCCACGAGTACGAGAGTGTGTATGCGAACGTGTGTGTACGCAAGTGAGTGTGTACGCGAGTGTGTACGTGAGTGTGTACGTGAGTGTGTGTGTGTACACGAGGGTGTGTATATGAGTGAGTTTAACCAGACTGGATTGTGTGAGGAGCTCACAAATCCTTGAAAGATCTGCACAAAGTCTCATCGGTGAGCTCCTCTGGCAGGCAAGGCGGCATTGGCTGGGTCATGTAGCCCGCATGCCCAGCCACCGCATGCCTAAACAGCTTTTGTTCGGCCGGATCGAGGGGGCTAAATGGGCGCAGCACGGGCTAGAGAATAGATGGAGTTATGTGGTACAGGAGGATGTGGAGCTGAGTGGACTTGCCGATGACTAGCACCAGTGGCATCAAGATCGGCCTCTGTGGAGGAGGCTCGTGAAGGACGCTGTTGGGCAGTTGGAGGAAGTCGACCTCCAACAACAACGGAGGGTGGAGGAGCGATGCTCACAACAACGAACGGAGTGCCGGGTGGCTGAAGCACAGAAGGTTGGCACAGTAGCGGGCACAGGTGGTGCATCAGCCAGTCATCTTAGTCAGTCGACCCGTGGCACCTGGGTCTGCCCTGTGACCTGCCAGCGGGCGTTCGACACATCACGTGGCCTCAACATGCACATCGCCTGGCACAAGCGTCATGGTGACGTCACCGCCACTTAGTGGTGAATGGCGGTTGTTGTTGTATGTGAGTGAGTGTGTACGTATGTGTACGCGAGTGTGTGTGTACGTACGTGAGTGAGTGTACACACACTCGCTCGCGTACACACACACTCGCGTACATACTCACGTACACGAGTGTGTGTGTACGTATGTGTACGTGTGTGTACATGTGTGTGTAGATGTGTGTGTACGCTTTGTCTCTGTGTACCGGCGCGCACCCCCAGTCTCTGCGCGATCTGCACGAGCGCGGCAACGCGGCCGTCTGCACAGCGCGCACCTGGGGGGGGCGCGTGGGCCCGGACACGGGCTCCCCGGGGGGCCCCCTCATCACCCGTCGCCTCCACGCACTCTCCCGCGAGTGGGAGAGCCTGTGGGGTGACCCGGCCGCGTCGCCCGCCCGCACCCCCTCCTCCGCCATTGCCCCCTCCTCCTCTTCCTCCACCGTCGTCGCTTCCACCATCGCCTCCACCGTCGTCTCCGTCGCCTTCACCGGCGCCTCCACCGGCGCCTCCACCAACGCCTTTGGCATTGTCGGCAGCTCCCGCGTCGGTGACTCCGTCGACTTGGTCGCCCGGTCCCCAATCGAGCCGGCAGCCTCGCCTGCCCGCCCCACCGCCCCGCCGGGCAGCGGCGACATCGCCAACATCACCAATATCATCTCCAGCGCCACCAACATCAACAAAATCAGCAACATCTCCAATGCAACCAACATCAACAACATCTCCAACACCTCCAGCACCTTCAACATCAGCAGCAGCAGCAGCGGCAGCATTGACGACAGCAGAAACCACAGCAGCAGCAGCAGGATTGGCAGCGGCATGCAGGTAAGCGCCGTTGCGAGCTTGCACACCATTCCATGTTTAACTCGAGAGTGAAGTGCAGACCCCGTGTGTGTGTGGTCACCTTGCTGCGGGAATTTACTGTTCAGATGAGCCAGTTTCATGTCAAAGCTGCTCAAATGCCAACGTGTTATACATTCTCATTGCCATGCTCGTTTACCCAGGAAAGGCTCGGGGAGCCTCAAGACATATTTCGGGAGGATCCTGCCTGATCATGGTGGCTAGGAGACACTCTTTCTTTCTTTCGGTAAAGTCACAAAGGTAGAAAAATAAAAGATCACGACATTTCGATCGCAACACAAGCAATCGTCATCAGGTGGGATAACCACAGCAAGAAAAATCGGCTGAAGTAGGCCTTGGCAGTAGGGGGGGAGAGAGAGGGGGGGGGAAGGAGGCGGGGCAGAAAGTTGACCCCTCAGTAGACCCCGTAGCAGCACCCGGGTCACTGGAGTAAAGTGGGCCACCGCAGCAGCACTGGAGACGGGGGGGGGGGGGAAGCAGGGCAGCACAGAGAGAGAGAGAGAAAGACACAGAGAGTCAGAAATAACAGCTGACATGGGCAGGTAAGATGGAGACATCACATTCAGTTAAGACTTTACCTGGTTAATAATGTCCTTCCAATGGTTGTTCAGTTTGTACCCATCTTCTCGGTTGAAGTTGTGTCTGTGTATATATATCTGGATAGCCGGTGGGTTTGCAGATTACTGTCGTCTTGGAAAAGTCAATTTCGTGTGAGCCCACTGCGTTAAAACAATAATCAGCAACAGCAGAGGTATTGGTCCTACCGTGTTTCAGATCTGCCTTGTGTTCACGATCGCGGTCCGAGACATGTCGTTTCGTTTCCCCAATGTAACTGCTGCCGCAGCCACAACTCAGTTTGTAGACATCCGGGTATTGCATATCATTTACATATGGAATCAAATCACGGATTTGTGTACTGTGTTGAAACTAACCTGGATCTTGTGTTTGTTTAAGATTTTGGAAATCTTTTTGGTAACCCCTGCTATGTATGGCAAAGTGATGGTATTGGTTGGATCCTCAGATGGTTGTCTCCCCATGGCTGGGGAGACAGCTTTGCGGATTGTACGGCCAGAATATCCGTTCATCCTGAGGGCTTGGTGTACGTGCTCCAGCTCACTGGCTAGATGATGCTGGTCGGAGATGCAACGGGCCCTATGGTGTAGTGCTTTGATGAGGGAATTTTTCTGGGCTGGATGGTGGTGGGAGTCAGGCTTTAAATAGGCATCCGTGTGGGTGGCTTTCCTGTAGACAGAGTGTCCTAATGAGCCATCAGGTCTCCTCTCGATCAAAACATCCAGGAATGGTAGCTTGCCATCCATTATTTTTCTACTTACGTGACTTTACAAAAAGAACCAAAGAGTATGGATTCCTGCAGTCACGAAAGCTTCAAATCAAGATTGGCTAGGAGATGTTAACGACCTTGCCTGGTATTACAGGAGGTCGTGGGTTCGATCCCAACCCTGCTATAAATTTCCACATGATAAGCCATGTTGTTACACTATCATTTGTGGCTAGGTCGCTTCTGAAAACGAGCTGCATAGCTCAGTGGGCCTTACCTGGTAATATAAAAAATCGTTTAAATAGTCTTCCTGGGAGGGGTGACTGTTCCCTCTCTCCCTGTGTGTGCATGCGTGCATTTCCCAATAGGGTGATTTAGCAGTGTAAATTTGTCAGAATAACCGGGGCGGCCTGCCCGATGCAAACCCCCGAGGCTCTGCAATGAGCAGCGGGCTGCCTCGAGCGGCCCTGAGCCGACGCGTGCGCTGCCGCCTCCACAGGGGCCGGCGTCGGCATGGACGGCGCTCGGTGCGAGTGGCAGCGGAGTCGGAGGTAGAGGAGCTCGCACGGAGAGAGTCCCGGCGGCATTGGCAGCAGCATCACCGGCGGTGGCAGCGGCGGCGGCAGCGACGGCGACCGCGCCGGCGTGGGCATCGCGCAGAAGTCCCCAGGACCCCGTGGCCCCGGCAGTGACGGCCGGAGGCCTGGCCAGCTGGCTGGACCGTGCGGAGGTCATGGTGGGACGCATCGCCGCCACGCAGCCTGACCTGGCCGCCAAGAGGGTGGCGCTAAGGGCACATGAGGTGAGTGGGGGGGGGGGCCCACTGCTGTCGCCGCTTGTCCGCCGCCCTTGAGCGGCCGTAGGAAATTCCAAATTTGCCATAGCGAGGGTTGGTTTCCACCATGGGAGAGATTGTCACATTTAACCTTGCCAACCAATGCTGTCAGCTCTCCCACCACCACCAAGAACAAAGTTCCCCCGTATAGCCTTTAACAAACTGTTGGGGCAAGTGTTGTTAGTGAGTAGCACCTATGAAGGCCGGCACGGCACACGAGGGGGTGGGTGGCCAACACCACGCCCGACCATCTTGTCTCCCCAGTGGTGATGTTTAAAACACCCCATCGGGTACTCATTTAAAGCTGAGTCAACCTAGGGGAGGCCCAGGACTGATTCAGATAATCGTCGCCTGGTGTTGGCCGTGAGCGGGAATCGAACTTGGGTCGCCGGGTTCGTAGCGCAGCGTGCGAACCACTACACTTATTGCTCGCCACCACCAACTCCTCCTCCACCATCCTCATCCCTCTGTAATGAGAGAGCGCCATCTAAGGGACGACGAGGGGTAATTGCATAGTCACTGCTGGGTAACTAATATCCAATGAGAAGGAAGGTTCCACGAGGGGGCTTAGCTCCGCCTCTAGCCAGGAGAGGCAGCGAGAGAACTCTTGGTATGGGGAGCCTGGAGTCCGGACTGCATCATCGCCTACATCTACTCGCCACCGACCACATGGCGGGCTCTGCCAGCGAAGCTTAATTCCTCCAAGCGTGCCGCCAGCCAGCGGCGAGCGTGGAGAGAGAGAGAGAGACACGCCGCGACGGTGGAAGAGGGAGAGCACGCATTACGGCAACAGAGAGAGTGGAGCTGTGCAGTCGTTGTTAATTAAAGACGCCAATCAACATTCGTCGTGGAAGTGCAGCACTCAGCGCCTGTGATGGGAAAGTGGAATTTCTACGGCTAGCTAGGGGTGGCTAACCGCTGCTCTCTTGCTGCCTAGCTTGCGCTGTCTGTGGTGTGACGTAGCCAACCGCGCTAAGCGGAGGTGCGGGTACGGTGTTCGGGCTGTGTGGTGTGGGACGGTATGGTGTTCGGGCTGTGTGTGGTGCATGATGGTTTGGGTCATATGGTGTGGCACGGTATGGTGGTGGCGCTGTGCGGTTGCGACGCCGTGACGTTAGCTGTATGCGGCTGCAGGTGCTGCTCGAGGAGGCTCGGCAGTACGAGGGGGCGGCCGTGGCGCTGGGAGAGGGGGCGGCCGTGAAGGACCCCGGCGCGGACGCCCTGCGCCAGCGTTACTGGCGCTTCCGGGAGTTGCTCGAGGTGAGAGAGGCACTTGCCGGCTCACCGCGTCGCCCATCATCCATCGCTCAGCTCCCCACCTACCTTGCCCGTCTCGTCAGCCGTGTCGCCTACGCAGCCGAGACGTGACCGGGATCACCAGACCGCTCTTGTCATTGTGGTGACCCAGGTCGGTGACCCTTCTACGTGAGACCTATGGTGGCGAGATGTTAACTGCCTCGCCTACTATACAGGAGGTCGTGCGTTCAATCCCGACCCAGACGCCTGCTGTTTGCGTGTCTCTCTCCCCATGGTCACGTGGATTTTTCTCTGCTATAAATTTCCACATGATAAGCCACTTCCTTGATCGTCTGAAAAAGAGATACAGTAATCCCTTGTTAATTCGACACATATGGGCTTCTGGCCTTACCGAATTATCCAGTATTCCGAATTATGTACAATGATACTCCCCAGTGCCTCCTGCCCCAATAACAAAAAAATCCAAAAATTTTTTCCAAATATTATTTTCCAGGAAAGTAACACCATCGGTAACCAGCACTGCAGGCGAAGAAGGAGAATGTGGTAGATTCCATGTTGTAGGTGACAGGTTGTGGAGGGGGGCTTAATGCACTTAGTATGCACTTATTGGACTGAATGTTCACTTTATCACTAAATTATAACTTAAACACCAAATTACACGAACTTAAACTTCACATTTTTTATTTAACAATTCATGTTTTCTTAAAGACTACATTATTTTACACTTTTAGACGACATTACTCGCTGTCAGACGCCATCAACTGATGTGGCACTTCACTGCTGACAGAGGTGTCTGTAGAAGGATATCCAGAGACTGAAGGCACTGCACTGGAGGCTTCACTGCTGGTAGAATGTAGCTTACGCCTGGGTGCTTGTGACATGGGTCAGAGATTTCCCCATGTTTGTAATTGCTGTGTTGACGCTTGAGGAAATCTGCCCTGACATCTCTCAAAGTAGCAATGGTGCTGGTCCAAAGCAACAGCTCTGCACTAAGGCCCACCACGCGAGCCGCCACGGGGCTGTCCTTGTTTTGGTCGTGGCGCTCGGCATCACTCCACGCGCGTGCCGAAATCGGACCATTCAGTACGGCAATTCGGCTCATAGACTCTATATATGCCGAATGCGCAGCCGTGCCGAATTGTCCACAATTTCGAATGATCAAATACCGAAATGATGAGGTTTTACTGTATATAGCTCAGTGGACCTTACCTGGTAACATACAAAATGGTTACATTTTAAAAAAGTAAAAAAGATCTGGTTTCTTGAGTTATCACGTGGTCAAACGAGATCGTGAATCCTGACCCTGCCTGCCCCACCCCACTCTAGGCCTCCACCCAGCGCTGGCGAGAGCTCACGGCCACCCACAACGACTTCCAGCAACGCCACTACGCCTTCCGCACGTGGCTCTCCCACGGCCGGCGCCAGTTGCAGGACACGCTGAGCCCCCAGGGGGGCGGCCCGGGGACGCGGACGCGGGCGCAGGCGGAGCTGCGGGGGGCGCTGCACGAGTGCCGCTCCCAGAAGAAGGCCGAGCTGGCGCTGCTGCTGCAGCTGGGGGCGGCCGCGGCCCAGGACACGAGCGCCGCCGGCGCCGCCAAGATCCGCGCGTGGATGCGGGAGATGAGGCAGGGGTGGGACTCGCTGTGGAGCATCCACGCATCGTGCGAAAGGTGCACCACCTCCCTTCCTGCAGTGCCGACCCCCCCACCCCCCCCTTCGCCGCGCTGCTGCCATCTTCTGAGTCGTGCGCAGGCTTCTAGTGAGCGGCATGACAAGAAGTGGCCGGATCAGCGGTACACTGGTGCAGCATACCACACCGGTCCTCATAAAACAGCCTAAAGTCAAGATTAGGCCTGTACTGACGATGTCGCTGTTGCCCTCGAGTGAGCTGCAGGCTCTCCTACAGAAGTTGCACTTAGATTCAGCAGCTGCTTTCCCACTGGAACGTGTGACACCACGAGTCGTAAGCTTTGGGTGCCACCATCCGCCAATAAATTATTCCGGAAATGAACCGAGGAACCGGCCGTGGTGACCAAGTTTAGGGCATGAGGAGTCATATCTGCCTTCGTAACACGGAGCAGCCAATCATCATCAGGCATACGGCAACAGACTGAAGCTTAGTGTTCAGCTGCTCATAACGTTCATATTCCGACTGCTTCGACATCACGCGAAACGATTTTGACGCATCACCACCACTCTGCAAGACTTTTTCATCGGGGTTGCGAATCGATCGAAAATAAATCATGATTGCGCAAAAATTTGATGTAATTATCTTTTTTATATACTGTGCATCACCGGTGTAGTACTACCAATACGTTCAAGTGGGGCTTTCAGGAAGCTGTTGACTTCTTGGCCCGAAAAAGTAAAAACGACGAGAGTGGCTGCACCGAGTGCGTCCGTGATGAGTGCCGTCGGGTGTTGGGGCAGCGGCCGCTTGCGGGCTCCGTTGACTCGATGACGGCCTTCGGCCCGGGCCGAGCCGATGGTCCCCAGACTAACCGGCCGTGGTGCTCGCCCCTACAGGTCGGAGAGAGGTCGCGAGGGAGCGGCGTGGATCGCACGCGAAGCAGGGACTGCAGCGTGCACCGCCCAGCCACAGACGGTGGGTGTCCGAGTGTGTGGGTGTCCTGGGTGTCCGAGTGTGCGGGTGTCCGAGTGTGCGGGTGTCCAGGTGTGCGGGTGTGCGGGTGTCCGAGTGTGTGGTTGTCCGAGTGAGCAGGTGTGCGGGTGTCCGAGTGTGCGGGTGTCCGAGTGTGCGTTTGTCCGAGTGTGCGGGTGTCCAGGTGTGCGGGTGTCCGAGTGTGCGGGTGTCCGAGTGTATGGGTGTCCGAGTGTGCGGGTGTCCGAGTGTGCGGGTGTCCAGGTGTGCGGGTGTCCGAGTGTGCGGGTGTCCAGATGTCCGAGTGTGCGGGTGTCCGAGTGTGCGGGTGTCCGAGTGTACGGGTGTCCAGGTGTGCGGGTGTCCGAGTGTGCGGGTGTACGGGTGTCCAGGTGTGCGGGTGTCCGAGTGTGCGGGTGTCCGAGTGTGCGGGTGTCCGAGTGTGCGGGTGTCCGAGTGTACGGGTGTCCGAGTGTGCGGGTGTCCGAGTGTACGGGTGTCCGAGTGTGCGGGTGTCCAGGTGTCCAGGTGTGCGGTTGTGCGGGTGTCCGAGTGTGCGGGTGTCGGAGTGTGCGGGTGTCCAGGTGTGCGGGTGTCCGAGTGTGCGGGTGTCCGAGTGTGCGGGTGTCCGAGTGTGCGGGTGTCCGAGTGTGCGGGTGTCCGAGTGTACGGGTGTCCGAGTGTGCGGGTGTCCGAGTGTACGGGTGTCCGAGTGTGCGGGTGTCCAGGTGTGCGGGTGTCCGAGTGTGCGGGTGTCCAGATGTCCGAGTGTGCGGGTGTCCGAGTGTGCGGGTGTCCGAGTGTGCGGGTGTCCGAGTGTACGGGTGTCTGAGTGTGCGGGTGTCCGAGTGTACGGGTGTCCGAGTGTGCGGGTGTCCGAGTGTGCGGGTGTCCAGGTGTGCGGGTGTCCGAGTGTGCGGGTGTCCGAGTGTGCGGGTGTCCAGATGTCCGAGTGCGTTGAGTGATAAGCGATGGCCGTTTATCTGTGTTGCAGTACGGGTCTGGGAATGTGTTGGCAGGACAGCGTAAGAAACGTGAATGTTGGTAAGAGGAAGACGTAAATGATGGGTGGGACACATGTGCAGGGTGGAGGAGGGTGGGTGGCCCAGATGGGCATTACAGCGGCACCCAAATGTCGGCGACCAGGGAAGAGAAGACCTAAAGCCAGATACGCAGGCCCAAGACTGAGAAACACCCAGACCCAGGGATTGAACTCCCCCCCCCAACCCACCCCATGCCACACGCGAGTGCAGGAGGTGGCGCGAGTGGAGGCTGAGGTCACGGCCGCACCAGAGCAAGCCAGCACGGTACTGCGCTACAGGAAGGTGCGGCCAGCTCACACCGCTCACCCACTGCTCACCACCCAGCCGCTCACCCATCCACCAACCTGCCTACCCCACCTACTCCCCCATCCACCCACCCGCTCCCCCTGCTTTCCCCCTCCCTCCTTCACACCCACCACTGGTTCACCAACCCACCTGCATATATCAACGCAAGCGCCCACTCGCTCTCCCTCCCTCCCATCCACCCACCCACTCACCCTCCCAATAACCCAAGTGCCGCTACCCCTGCCCGCTTCCTCCACACCGTGCCCGCCGATTGTGTGTGTGTGCGTGCACGTGCGTGTGTGTAACCCGTGCGTGCGTGCCTGTCACGCTTCCTGTGCGTGTGGTTCGCTGCTGTCCCGGAGACCACAGCGGAAGTGTGCAGCTCCATGCCGATAACCGCACCGCACATCCCACCCCTCCCCCGACCTCCGCACCCTCACCCCCAACACGTCACTCCCACCCCCGCACGTCCCACACCCCGCCCGCCCCCCACGTCCCACTTGTCCCACGCACCCTCAACCCAGATCTCGGTACACAAATCAGTTCCTCCCACCACCCATGCACCGATATTGCCGAGACCTGTGGTTGCCAACGGTGACCACGGGGATTAATGACTGACGTGCGTTCCCTAACGTTCGCCACTGTCCGCGTGTCGCCCCCTTGCAGCCACCACCACGCGCCGAGTCGTCCGTGCTGACGCGCGACAAACGGGGGAGGTGAGTAACTTGCTCGCTCACTCGCTCGCCCATTCAACCCGCTCCCACACATGCTCACCCGCTCACTTGTGCATGTGTGTGTGTGCGCCGACGTGTGGATTGGCAGTGCGCACTGCCACTATAAACCCGGCACACCAGAGTTTTATTCCTGCTCGCAGCCAACACTAGTGAATAATACCTGAAACGGTCCTTCGCCTCCCCCTAGGCCGACTCAGCCTTCACGGTGGCTAGGAAATGTTAACTCCCTCGCCGCGTATACAGGTCGTGGGTTCGATCCCGACCCTGACGCCTGCTGAATATTTAGAGTTTGCGTGTCTCTCTCTCCCCGTGGTCGAGTGGATTTTTCTCCAGGTCCTCCGGCTTTTCCCTCCACATTTAGAATCAACATTATACGCTTACAGCATTTGCCTCCTATATAGTTGCATATGATAAGCCACTTCATTGGGCTATCATTTGTGATAGCCAGGTCGTTTCTGAGAAAGAGTTACACAGCTCAGGAGGGCCTTGCCTGGTAAAATAAAATAAAACATAGTTTAGTTTATCTTCTGGGTTCTTTCAGTAAAGTCGCGTAGAATGGGAATAAAATAATAAAAATAATAATAACAATAAAATTCTCACGACGTTTCGGCCACAACACAAGTACCCTTCCTCAGGTGAAGAAACAGGACTGTCCGAAAGACAGCGCTGGAGTGAACACTGCCAAGCATGGACAGCGTCTTTTAAGCTGTGTGGGAGGAACAGAGCGCCTTGACATAGGAGTTAACATAAATTAGCATGTTACTGGGGGATTAGCATGATGTTGGTGTGAGGGATTATCAGCAGTTTACATATCAACAGTAAATTAGCATAAAAATAGTTTAGTTTAGTTATAAGTTTACCTGGTGCGGTGTGTAAACATCACCACTGGGGAGACAAAAGCATGGCACTGGCCATCCACCACTTCATGCTGCCTGCCGGCCTTCATCGGCACTACTCCGCGAACAGCACTTGCCCCAACAGTCTGTTTGAGGCTATCGGGGGGATATTTGTCTTTGTGTGTGTGTGTTCGCAGCAGGTGGTGCGCGTTTGTGCGCCGCGTGCTCAAGGCGGCGGTGCCATTCCTGCTGCTGCTGCTGCTCCTGGCGCTGCTCGTGCTGCTGTGCTGGATCCCGGCCGCTCAGCGCCACCACAGCTGCTCGCTCGCCAACAACCTCGCCCGCTCCTTCCAGCCCATGCTCACCTACACCAACGGGCCCCCGCCCACATAAGAGTGGGCAGACGCTCACCCGGCCACTTACCTACTCAGCCGCTCACCTACCCACCTGCTCACCTGCCCAGCCACTCACCTACCCAGCCACTTAGATACCCACACACTCTATCTACCCACCTACACTCCATCTACCCACCTACATATTCACTCACCTACTCGCCAACTCTTGCACCTGTTATCTTCACCTTCTCACTCACCCACGCTGCCGAGAATAGGGGTGAGCAGAGGGTGTGTGATGAGGATGGAGTGAGGATGGGGGTGAGGTGAGACGCACACTCACCGTTTCTTTTTCCACCAAGCTAAGGGGCAGCGCTCGATGCCCTGAGTCAGTGGTGGAAATTCCACATTCTCAGGGCAGGGACCAACGTTTTGTATAGAGCAGTCACCGTGGACTTCCCACGTGGTGCGGTACTCAATTTAACAACCCCAGACGGGTGACTATGATGGTAGCCCGAGTCGACCCCCCAAGGGGGAATTGAACTTCGTGTAACCTGAGACTGAGAGTCACGAAGCCCAGGGGCACCTCCGCTGGCTGTTCGGCGTCTGGCTGCGTAGCCCACGGGTACTTGTTGAGCGAGCGAGAGGCGCTGGTGTCGTCACGTAGAGAGGTCGTCCGCGTGCCGTGCGAGTGTTTGCCGACACGTCCACGCCGTGGCGCCTCGCAGCCCAACCTGGCCCACTCTCCTGCCCTCGCGTCATGGGGGGGGGGGGGGGGGGGGGGTTGTATGTATGTAGTGGAACTTGTGTGTAAAAGTTATTTCACACCGTACGTAGCCAACCTTGCTAATCGGGAGTGATGGGGGAACACACGGGAGGGGAGATCAACGTGAGATCCAGGGAGCAGCACCAGAAAGAATCGCAGGGCTACCAGGTCTGGCCAGGAAACCCCAACTTGAGATTCGGCACCACCCGGGACGAGGGAGGCGTTGCTGAATAAGACCAATATTTATCGCAGTCCATTGAGTGGCAGCATTTGTGAAACTCGTCTGTGGGGACCCAGCGAAGGGGAACATCGGTTCGTCAAGGTGGGGGGGGGGGATGGTGGTGGTGTGGTTTCTCTCGGGTCAGCAACCGGTAACCGTTTTGAGAATCGGTAACTGGTTCCCATCAGGGCGTTGGTTGGTAAATGCACCGGCCGCCCTCGTTTCTCAGTCCCAAAGTGCAGATGCAGCCGTGCAGTACCTCTCACGCCGCTGCTGGCGGAAGGGGCCTACACAAGAGGGAACTCTGAGGAGCCGCTTTAGGAGCTCTACCCATCCCTCGAGGGTATTTGGCCTACTCCACACTCGCCACACGTCTTGGAGGGTGTATGCCCACACTTTATTCCCTATCAAATTTAAGAAGCCTACGCCGGTGTTTCAACTGCCGTGTCAGATGATGGACGGCAAGGCCAGGGCGCTGCTGACCACTAACCCTCTAGCGAAAAGCACAAACATATAAAAAAAATTTAACGAGCCTAGTTTGTCGGGGCTACCCTATTTCCTCGAACGTGAGCCATTGTCCTTTAAAACAATTGTCCAAACATCCCCGTGTGTCAGGACCCTCTTTACAGAGAGCTCTTGAGACTCGGTGAAGCTCACCCCCCTGGGATCAAGGGCAGTGCTGTGGCCCCCACCTCGCAACGTGTTTGCGATCGTTACATCGGCGCTGCTGCGTTGAGAATTGAGGCGCCCGCTACTTCGGGCGCTGAAGCGCCAGCGGCTTTGTCATGGCGCTCACACTGCCGGGTGTAAGCTGCCCGCTTCACGACTCGGGCCCCCGGCTACCGTACGTAGTAGCAGCATCCGCGCGCCGTCGCCCTCGTCGGGAGGTGTGCTTACATGTGGGTTTATTTGTATTTTTTTCTTACGCTTTTAAGATGCCGGTGGCTATGTCAGCAATAACGTGAAATAATAAATTATCTAACCACATTGTGTGTGACGGCCGCCCCAGGGCTGTGCTGTGACGGCTGTTCTCATTTTTGCTTGAGCTACAAACAACCCTCGTCCTGTCGCGTTCGGTCGAGACAATGTCCCCACGCATTGCGTGGTGAAGCTTTGTGTTTGTACGCGGTGGGCCCGCGAAAGCAAATATCGTGCAGCTCCCTCCCGAGATCCTTTCCTCTTCGCGTGACCTCCGTTTCCACACACAGTTAAGTAGACAGAAGTGCTACCCCCACCCACTCTGCCATGCTGAGAGTAGTCGCTCGAATTTTTTTTTGCCAAATTAAACGTCGAACCAAGCATAGGGGTGCCACGGTGGCGAGATGTTAACGACCTCGCCTGCAATGCAGGAGGTTTGTAGGTTCGATCCCGACCCTGACGCCTGCTGTATGTTTCGAGTTTGCCTGTTCTCCCCGTGGTCATGACCTGGCCACAAATGATGGCCTAAATTTCCACAATACATATAATTATCAAAATCAACTTAACTTCAAATTAAATTAGGCATATATAAGCGGTATACAATTAATTCATTTACTTATCATGTAACGCTATTCATATTTTAATCTATACAGCTCGGCTGATCACTGTGGTGAGATGTTAATTACCTCACCTGGGATACAGGAGTTCACAGGTTCGATCCGACCCTGACGATGTAAATTTGGAGTTTGCATGTCTCTTTCTCCCCTTGCTCACGTGGGTTTTTCTCCGGGTCCTGCAGTTTTTCCCTTCACATTTAGAAACACGTGTAGTGTCCAGCTCAGAGACACTCGGAGACGGCGTGGAGTTAACACGTTTATTATTTATTACAACTTTTCCTAATACACACGATAGGGTATAGCTGCCCTTTTGTCAGCTACCCTAGGGAGGTATCGCCTCCGGACCAATCCTCCTGAGCTGCACGGGGTAGCTAGCCATGACCGGACCCTGGCTTGGGTCCGGGTCTCGTCTATCGGCAGGTCTTCTCCCGACATGACGGCTTTCTGGCTTCTCGTCGGCAGCCCCCCTAACCTGTTCGGGGGTCCGGTTAATACTCCCGGCCCAGGGGCTCCGTCCGCCCCTTTCCACGCCTCCCTTCTCGCGTGTTTTAGAGGGGTCTTGTCTCAGCCCCAGGGCCCCCTACCCTTCAGAGGCTGGCACTGCACACAGCGCAGTGCTCTCCATCCTCCTCAGACGATCTCTGCCGGCCCTTGCTAGGCCCGGTACTGCGCTCCTCTTGCACCGCTGTTGGCAGCGTGAGCGGCGCGTGTCTCGCCTTACACAAGCCGGCTTAACGTATCCTGCAGTGGCACCCACTGATGCCACTACATCACCCCCCCCCCCACCCCCTTTGTAGCTTTCAGCCGTCCTGGCTGATAAATAAAAAAAACAGAACAGTAACAACCCCACCTATACAAATGTACGCTATAAACAAAAATAACGACCAGACAGGGGCGAGAACATGGGGCAACAATAGGGAACAGAGAGGGGTAACCAACGTGCAAGTGCATGCCCCATACCACAAAACCCCCGCCCCCCCACGCCGTGTGTGGGGGTGTGGCGTGTGCGACTGGGGTCATGTGAATCGCGACGTTTTGGAACGAGTCCGCACGGCCGGTCCCCCGGGGGAGGGACCGGGGGGAACCCGTAAGAGTTCCGGAGCATCCGATCCGGTCTCGAGAGCCACCGGCTGGGTGGCTGGGCGTCCGTAGGTCGGAGCCAGAGGAGCAGCAGACGGCGGCTCCTGGAGGGTCGTCAATCGCGCAGCATCTGGGGATGAATTGACAGGCACCCGCTGAGGATCCCCCACAGCGGGCACAGCCCTCAGCTCGCCGGACACGTCACACACCCGACCCCTGCGGTTTGGAGGTGGGATGGAATCGCATGGTGCGACGAAGGGCTTGAGGCGCAACGGGTGTACAAACCAGCACCGGCGGCCCCACCGAATTTCTACATTGTGGCCGCACAACGCGGACAATGTCGACCGGCCTTCTCCAAGGTTGGAATAATAAGTTCCCACCGGAACCTGAGGGCAATGGAGCCATGCTCTGTCGTCCACAACCCACTCATGGCGCGAAACAAGACGACTTTGCAGGCGCTCGTTAACCAACTGGCGCGCATTTGAATGCACTCTGGCAGCCTCGCATGCTTCGGACAGCCGCTGAATGTTGAAGCGTGCGCAATTGAACGTCGGTCGGGAGGTCCTGCTCCCTGCCGTACATTAGATAGAATGGCGAATAGCCAGTGGAAGCATGAGGAGCCATGCAATATGCGGCCAGTACACCGGGGACACGCAAGTCCCAATCAAGCTGAGAATCGCTGACCTGATGACTCAGCATTGAGGTGAGCGTTCTGTGCAGGCGCTCGACCATACCATCCATCTGAGGATGGTATGGTGATGTGCGAATTTTCCGAGTGCCCAATAGTTCGCACACCTCCCACAGTAATTTTGAGTTTTTACCCTGGTCAGTTAAAAGATGCTCGGGTGTACCCTTATCCATAACATAGCCCTCCAAGAAGGCGTCAGTGATGGCGGCCGCCGACTGGTTGGGGAGCGGCCAGGCCACAGGCCAGCGTAAGAAGTATTCTTACCCCAACGAGTAGAAATTTATTATCCCGGGGGGTTGCGGGAAAGGGCCCCAGAATGTCCAGTGCGACCAGCTCGTTGATGCGTGAGACGCGAATGGCCTGCAAGGGCGGACAGCTGGGCCTGGCCTGCTGTTTTTGCCGCGCGCACTGGACACAGCCCTCTACCCTTCAGAGGCTGGCACTGCACGCAGAGCCGCAGTGCTCTCCATCCTCCTCAGACGATCTCTGCCGGCCCTTCCTAGGCCCGGTAATGCGCTCTTCCTGCACCGCTGTTGGCGGCGTGAGCGGCACGTGTCTCGCCTCACACAGGCCGGCTTAACGTATCCTGCAGTGGCATCCATTGATGCCACTACACATGCATTTAGAGTATTTAGCCGCTATTAATTTCCACACGATAAGCCAGTTTATTGAGCTGTCATTTGTGATAGCCAGGTCGTGTCTTAAAAATAGCCACACAGCTCAGTGGGGACTTAACTGATACAATTAAAAGTTAATTCAAATAATAGTTTAAATACACGGCAATGGTTTAATCGGAGTCGGGCAGCTGGAACCCAGATTGGAACCCAGGCTCTCAGCATTGCCGCCTCAAGACCTCTGCACCGCCGCCTGGCCGCCTCGAGTGAAGATGGTCCAGGTCGTGGTAGAGCATCGCCGTAGGAGCAACTGGCGCGGCGATGTTGGTAGGGAATTTGTGCTGCGGTGGTCGTGGGGCTCTAGCTCAACCGGTGATGGACTGGAACTAGAAACCAGCCCAGGAATTTTGTAAAAGCACTGGGCTAAAATTGCCGTGCAATCTCATTGGCCCATTTGGGCTTTCTGGGTCAAAAAAAAAACAATGGGCCGGTGAGGAAGAATTTTTGGGGCTGCCGAATATGGAGACTTAATGAAACAACTGAGAATGTTGATAAGCAACGAAACGTACACAGAAGTATTAAATATTTGTATTTGAAAATGTTTTACCCTGATCACATTTGCTATTTCACCACACAGACCGGCCCACCGGACATTTGCCCTACGGACTGCTGCCCTCTGGCCAGTCCAGGCCTCGACACGACAACTGGGATTACGCAATCGCAGCATGGAGAGGGTCGTGAATGAGTGCAGATTGGTGGAACAAGCACAAATATATGTGGGGGCCGACATCCACCTCCCCGCTCCCGGTGAGCGGGTGGGGAGTGACGTTCACCCCCTCCACTCACCCCTCCTCCTCTTCGGCCGCCACTCGCCGCGCACCC